TATGTCTCTGTGTTACTTATATAAGCTATATTTATCATTTTTTTTGCACGTTCTATCAGTCTCCGCAAAATCGGTTCAATTTGAAGGTAATATAATAGCAGCATAATTACTTAATGTATTTATATATCGCTTGTAATAATCGGTATAAATATAGAGGCTTATGTTCAATTATGTTTTTGCATTTCACTCATTTTTAGTTACTTCGGCGATTTTCGAGTTTTCCTTCCCGTACAAGTTCATTTTGTTGCTTTATTTTTTAGCGTAATTTTTGTCCTGGCATTTTTTCATCCTTAGTTAGTGCCAAACAACGCAGTACGGTTCCCGACAGGTGGATGGTTGCACCAAATATTAGTGCGGCCTACCGAAGGGAGACGTGCGCCTTTTTCTGTTCCTTGTTAAAATTCTTTGGGCTCCGAAATCACGACGGTGGGAAGTGATACCGGTGCCAACGACATTGCTCCATTAACCATTATATATTGGAAACAAGATTGAGAGACCGCAAATCGTCATGTCGCTGAGTTCGCTCCACGTGTAAAGTGGTTGCTTTTGGGCTATATAGCAACCCCCAAACGTGAGTAACTGTCGTCGTCACTTATCACTGAGACTGCAGAAGTCGCTCAATGGCACCATTGACATCTCCGAACGAGGCTATCAGAGCGCGGATGTTGGCCTCACGATTGACGAAGCCCATTGCTGCCAACTGCTCTAATTGGGTACGGAATCGTTCTTCTGGTGGTTGAGCCCCTGTGCCAAGCCCACCTTGTAAAAGGTTTGCCATAAGGCTACCCAAAGCGTCGGGATCAGCTGTGTTACCTGAAGGCGACCCATTTGTTGCTGGCCTTGCGCTTGGCGATGAGGCGGGTGCAGCGGTTTCACTCGCTGCAACAGCGCCGCCGGTGAGGGTAGTTTGTTGTCCAGTTGGAAACACTCCGGGTGCAATACGACTTAACTGTGACATACTGTCCTGTATACGCTGGATAGCTTCCAATGCCTGAGGGTTCGTCAGTAGATCGCGCATTTGAGGGTTACGCATCTGCTCAAGAAACTCGGGCATCATCTGCCGCATCTGTTCTTGCATTGCGGGGTTATTAGCGAACAGGGGGTTGCTAGCGATCAGCTGTTCGGCTAGGGCAGGACTGTTAGTTAGAGACCGCATTAAGGTCTCCATATACGGAGAAGACATCATACTCTGCATCATTTCGGGATTTGACTGCAGTTGAGAGAGAAGTGACTGTATTCCAGGCTGATTCATCATGGATTCCATGCCGCCCCTAATTCCACCTAATGGACTGCCTGCGCCTCCACCTGTACTTCCGGCTTGGGGCGCGTTGGCTGCCCATGGATTAGGAAGTGGGTCACGGTTCTCTGTCGTCGACGGCGTTAACCTTGTACTATTGTCGCTATCCGAGTTCGAGTTATTGCTGAGCGCGGCAAAGGGATTTCCACCGAACTGTTCCGAAGCGGCGTTCAACATGGGCTCCTGAAGGTCTGTGTACATTCGTCGTAACTGATTGTAGCCGCCGGGAATTGATTCAAGGTTGGACAAAGCACGATCTTGATTGCGCATCATTTCCTGGAATGCTGCCGGATTACGGGCCATTTGCATCGTTTGCCGCAGCACTTCGGGGTTATTAAGAACGTGACCGAACTCAGGGTTTCTCTCAATGATCGCACGCATCTGCGGGTTAGCGTTAATCATTGTACGAAGGAATTCGGGGTTCGATATCATGCTCTGTATTATCGGGTTGTCCATAAGCTGTTGCATTAATTCTGGATTGTTCATAACCTCCTGTTGCATACGCTGCTCAATTGCCTGGAACGAGCCACCATCAGCTCCTACGCTGCTTAAACCGCCCAGATTTCCTAAACCAGCCAGACCTACTAATCCAAGTAAGTTTAAAATACCGCCTGAATTAGACGCGGCTGAGCCCGTGGCCTGTTGCTGCTGTGTCGATGTTCCAGTACCTGTTGTTGATGAATTATCGGTATTAGAGGAGGGCGCAGCCGCTTTGTTCGAGCCACGGATCACAAGATGTAGCACGAGTCCTTCTTTGAGTCCGTGTGACTCGAGCGTTTCGCCATCTTTAAGGATTTTTCCGGCAAATATAAGGCAGATTTGTTCCAAAGGAGCCTTTGCCTCATCGGCCACCTTCTGTCTCAAAATCTTGACATCGGCCCCGTCCTCCACCTCCACTGTATATTTGTCCTTCGTGGTCTTCACAGTTAGCTTCATCATGAACGGGCTGGGCTCAATTCACGCGTCCTCCCAGCCCCGCAAATACCACACACTTTGGGTTGAAACAGGATCGAACGTGAAGTCACTACTCACCACTTTGCAAATCGCTTAATAATCTTGACTCAATGCCGATCATAACAGCGTTATTTCCTTGTGATTATCCGCCGAGTTGGCGGTCAGGTACCAACCCTCTCTCCGGTGCTCCGCTAAGCCGGACACTCAACAGCTTGTAGAACATTCGCTGGACCAGCCAAGTTAGCGGCCACTTCATTAGGTCGGATGTGCCATCTAGCCAATTGGTAAGGTCTGGCGTGTAAATGTCGGTCAACGGTTGACTGGCGCAGGAAATGACGTCAGTTTGTGATGCCAGGATCAGCTGTTAAACGAGTTGAAGTCGACTGTGTTTTTTGGCGATGTCATCGCCTTGGCCGGTAAGTACGAGCGTCGGCTTGAGACTGTGCTTTCGACTCCCTATCCCTTCGAAATCCTTCACTGGTTGCTTCATATGTTGCGTCAGCCATTCGCAATAAGTGAGTTTCTGTTGCAATAAGGATTACCCGTCATCAGTGATTAGTGCAAACACTGCAGAAAAACGTTAATCAATGTCACAATATTATTCGATGTCTTTATATTGATTGCGCACTAACACTGGCTTAGTAGTGACTGTTCTAAAGGTCTTCAAGAGCAGACGATATCTAGAAACGTGCTTCGGGATAAGATGTCCGCAGTAGGTGACACATGGCGTATAAATTGAGCAGTTATTCAAGATCATATAAGATGTAATTTAAAAGTGCCCCATGGTTTTAAAAAATATAAGCGCACAAAGCTATTGCATACAACTGAAGTTATGTACAACTATCTGCACCGTAGGTTTCAGTTTAGCGCTGTGTCGTGTGCTATGGCTGCAACAACAGATTGACATTCATTCCTTGTATATATATGTGTATATATTTATATATATCGGTGATGGAAATCATATGAAATTCGAAATCTGCATTGTCTATCTATGGTATCAGTTACATCTTGGGGACAGATGTTAATATTACTCCCTTTGATGATGGAAATTCATGTTATTGCTAAAATTATGGAAACATCTGTTATTTAATACTTTCGCTTTTAGCTCTAAAAAAAATTAAAATTTTCTTACTTTGTTCGACGACAATTTAAAGTTTTTCATAAGCGCATGTGTGTTTGTTAGTCTGCGTCGCCCTTACTGACGGATGTGTCAGATACAGATATCCAGAGCCATATACGTAACATGTAGTTTAGACTTTTATGAGACTGTCTCTTTTTGAAAAAAAAAAATCGAAATTGAGCAATTAACTGGAATTAGCAGTAACAGTTAGGATATCTTTCTGCAACGATTTCTGCTGCAGTTCGTTAATGTGTGAGGAAATGAACTACTAGTAGTGAATCAGTTTTATCGTTATTTTATGGGTTAATGGGCAAAATTAGGCAAACATTTAGATAATGAAATGTTTGAACAATACCGTTATAGATCATGTCGGTTATAGATTAATATATATTGTACGATGGAAGTGTTCGATACTTGTCGAATCAACACTTGTTCAAGTCAAGATCAAACTATTCATGCTATTGCGAATCGTTAAAAGCAACGTAATCCATAATACGAATAACTTAATATTGCGATTTTATTACATTGTTATTAAAAGCTTAGGTATCCCTTGAATTTCGTTGAACTTATTTAGCTAAACATTGTTTCATCAAAGAACACATTGAAATTTATTCTGTGGGTTTTTTTAACAATGCGCTTTTATTATCTATCATTGTTTTTTTGAATAAGGGTAACAGATTTTAGTATTTCTTCATTATTCAACAAATAATTTTTCTACGTTTACGCTTCATCATTTCAAATAGTAATCATATTTTTTCATGTTTAAGTTGTAATAATAACTAATAATAATCATTATTAATATTATTATTATTATTGAACATATTATTAACAATTCTGGATTATGACTGAAACTTTCCTAAGAAATCGTGCGGGCTTGATGGCGCTCGTTTCTAATTAATTGTTTAATTCCCGTCTGTTTCATTTTACGATAGTGTCTGCGGTAACCGACTGCGAAATCAGGCTGTCGTGCTTCTCCCTGGATCTTTCGAAAAATGGCTGGATTTCGTTATTCGGTTTGGGATCCCCCGCTAATAATCTCGCAGATTGTGACATTACAATGCGCGTTCTACGCGGGTTTGGGGGTAATCTTTTGGATCATCGACACGTTGTTTCAGCAAAGCATATCTCTCGAGCAACTCTTCTCTTACGGGGCCGTCCACCTTAAAAGTGTTGTTGGTCTCTGCACAGTTACCGCTTACTTGGTAAGTCAATCTTTGTTTTTTGTTTAGAGAATTACGATAATAAGTGTAGAGTAATTATTTGCCATTCCGTGATCGTAAAGAGCTGTAGTTTTCCTCGATTCGATATGAACATAAGACCTTATCAAGTTTTGGAACACCCGAAGGCTTTAACATAGAACTGTGATTACAGACATTACATGAAAGTCTATATAAAGGCCTGTTACTGAGTTTACTACGACCCTTTACGGCTGCTACAGGTAAGCAATGACAAAAGTTCTCGACGAAACTTTTTTACGTTGTTGGCCCAAACTACTGCCACAAACACTGACAGCTTGATTACTAATTCTGTTGTTTTTTTGTTAATTTTCTATTACTTTACAGCTAAATGCGTGTATATCCGCGGGCACCGTATGGTATTTCGTTGCTCGCACAAAGCAGTGTCTTGACTTCAGCTGTACGACTCATTTTTACCACCTCTTGGCATGTTGGTGCTATAACGGGCGGTTTCCATCAAGTCCTGGCTGGTGGTTACTTAATATATGTTCCGCAACAATTATGTGCGTTTTGGCGGAGTATCTTTGCATTAGAACGGAAATGAAGGCGATCCCGCTACTTGGAAGTAAGGCCGACTTGTAACACAAGTAAGATCGCTGCGTCCAAACAACGTCAGCGTCGATATGCTTATTGAAGTCAGTGTGCGCTTTCACTGACGCACGCGTGCTCAGACAAACCTGATCAAAATTCATATTCAGACCGTGGTATTCCTATGTGCAATGCCGTACGCATAACCTTGCAAAATGCCTTCCTGGAGAGTCGACTAATAAATGGAGCTTGTTTCGTCTAGCGAAGCTTCTGCCAGCCTTTACTAAGCATGAATCTTCACAAATCTCTTCAGTTCCATTATCTCTCGTCTTTAGCAGGAATGAGGAGCATATTGTGGAGAATGATCTGTGTGTGTGTGCAAGGTAAAGAATCACGTCAAGTTGCTGGAAGTGACGTGCGCATATCTGGGACTTGCAGTAGACGGCCATTGGCTACACGTAGAACGTGCTCTCGCAACTGTTCGCTGTGCATATGTTGCTTTCTGCCCTGACCATGTCAGAACTCAATGTTGATGAAAATATCCGAAGAAGATTATTATCATCTACCCGATACGACGCCGTCAAATCTTCGATAGCTTTTATCGGCTGATATAGTTTCTATGAGAATTTTCAGCTTTAGCTTCTAGTGATGCCACAGACCCTTTATGGAAATTACAATAATACGATACGGCGAACTCAGCCTGGTATACTGGATGTATTCACGTGGAAAAGGCTAAATGGGTGAGCGTACCATTAGCTATTATCTTTTTAAAACTCGTCCATAGAACAGAAAAGAAATATCTATGAAACCTGAGCTAGTTAGCGAGAACTGGCAAGAGAACAGAATATGTGATAAAATATTATATAAATATTATATAAAATATTATATAAAGACGTGAAAACAAAATGAAACCTAACAGTTCATTTGTAAATATCGTGTTAATAAATCGATAACGAATTATGTATTTTGCTTAAAGCGTTAGAATTTCCTTTGCATGCAATTGGGAAAGAACTCATCCATCGAGGAAGTATGACCGATCACTTACACCAATACAGCCCTTCATGGCTACTGTGAAAAGATGCGTGTTTGCTTCGTATCGAATTAAATATGAAGAAAGCCAAAACTAGTTAATACTTTAAACTTACTTTGATTGTTATTAAATTAAATATTGTTTTTTCGTTATTGCGTCTAGAAATAATAACTACAGCCTAGATGCAGTCAGCTGATTTGCTCTGGCATAAGTCACCTAGAGCGTAAAGGTAAACGCGCCGAAAAATATGAAATGGTTTTTGAATAATGTGTGCAATCAACAGATAGAAAAGTTTATACGTGTTCAGCACTTTCGCAACAAACTGTTGAGCTTCTCCGAGTTATTCTCTGAACTAACTATTAACAACCGGTGAGAGTATACCGGATGCTACTCAAGCTTCGCATCAAGGACAGGTCCGTTCTTCTTGGAGCTAGCACTATGATCTCACCTGCGGCGCAGCCTAAGTCGGCTCGATCGGACACAGTTCGAGGATGACGCAGCCGATGGATATTGAAGTAGATAGAACACTTCCTGCCATACCTTGTACCCATTCGTCCGTATTCTAATTGCAACCGGTAATTATGTCTGATTCTTTCCAATCAACCGGCGGTAGGCCTGCACATAATGGTTTCTCCAAAACCATTGTAAGAAACCACATTTGTTTCGTAGGTGTGAGCGACTTTTTGGCGTATATTACTTCGTTGGTATTATGATGTTAAATGCAGGTTGACCCAAGCTTTTCTCCGCAGTTGACAGAAAATGGTTATGAAGGAAGTCTTTACCACGAGGCATGACTGTTGGTCGCTATTTTAGCTGTGGTCAACGCTACATGCTAGACAACTTATACAAGTAAGGAGAAATTTTATTGTATCGTCTTTCAAGTTCGTTCCGGGTTTTAAAACGGTTTAAATTCTGGCGCTATGAACACAGGTAGGTGAGAGAAGAAAAGCGGTTGCTTGCTACATTTTTTTGGGGTGTTATCTTCTAATTCTCTTTTGTTTCCGTAGATTTCAGTAAAGTCACCAACTTCCCAAATGGAGATGTAAAAAGCGTAATAAAAGAGTCAATTTTGAGGTTTTATTTTGGCAAGAGCTAAATGCGGCCCGAATTCGTGAGGAAATTTATGGGGTACGTGGACTTAATACTGTAAAAGATTGCACGGTCAGGAGGGGATTAGCTCATTTTCGAAATAACAGTTCAAATATTGAGGGTGAGGCATGCGCAGGTCGATCCTTTAACCATAAGGACGCTTAGATTCTAACTTTACTTGATCAGAATGTATATATGAATTTTTGCTAGACCGGAGGAACACATAAACATCCATTCAAAGATATATAACGAGCAAACAGGGCGTCAATCAAACGGACATCCTTTGACTGATGATCAATTGCTCAACCGTGTGCATATGACCCAACATACTCGAAAGTCGAACAAAGGTAATACTTTTCTCGTATGGAAAGTACATAAGTTCTGATAGCTTTACTCACAGTAAAACGTAGTGCATTTTAAAGAAAAGCTAAAGCCGGACCTCGTCCAAAGAAGGTAATGCTGCGCATCTGCTGACATTACAATGGAGTGTTCTTCTATGAATTTCTCTCAAACTATTAAAACGTTAAGTCAACTAAATATTGTGAACCGGTTTCCTCTTTAGAGGAAACCGTAAAATAAATGTGCTCGGTTATAGCGCATAGGAGAGAAGGTAAGTTTTATGATGCCAGCCTCACATGATGAACAGCTTCGCGAATGATAAGCTACGTTCATTACTCATAACTACCAATATATCACTGATTGAAGCTGCCTGGGCAAAAAATTGTTTTCATTTTCAGTTGCACAGTTTCGAAACGAACTTTTGGGACGATTGAATACTTATAACTGACGATAAAGGCTTCAAACCTAGGCTAAAAGATGGATCCCGAAGGGATCGAGCGTATCTTTTAACAATAAGAAATTTAGGAAATTAGGGCAATCAGATTTTTGTCAAACAGCTTAAAGGCGTTGCGATTACGAGCGTTGTGAGTGGTGGATCAATGTTGAGAGTCGAGCATGCGATAAGCTTGATGTTGGCTCGTTTGTTTATGTTAATTTAGGACTCCCACATTGATATAATGTTCGAGACGTGGTTTCTCAAATGCCAAAGTGTTATAGGCAATGAAAGGATAATAAGACTAAGCCAGATCGTGTACAGAGTGGACGCGACATGCGTCAAACGGTCTTCTTCATACGTCGAATCAAGAAAGTTCAGCGAACTCTTTCTAACTGAGAATGCTAAAAGATTTTGCCAGTGTGCCCTAATTCAAGAGCGGCGGAAAATGGCTCAAAACATTGGAAGAGTCACCTGTATCGGGCTGCTGGTGCGGTGCATGCATACAAAGGAGATCCCATTGTTTACAATCAGGTTCGCCATGTTGTCGAGTTCCCACTAGAAAACAACATATAGAGTTGATCTTTGGTGCAGAAACATGCAGTCGATTTATCAAGACTGTGGTTAGTTTTCAACGGAGCAGCGTTTCATGCACTCCAATAGTATTCCCAATTCGTCTATTGGCACTATATTGATTCACTCGACAGGGACGGGCACTAACGCCGAAAAATACGAATCTACTTATCGAAGGTTGAGATGCACATTGATTTTGCAACTAGTAGGTATGATTAGCGAAAGAGCGAGGGAAGAAGTTCATCGCTCCCCACTCAACACTACAGCATTCGAGTTACCAGTGGTTAACGGTACAGCCATTTGTTGTCTGGGGTTTGTTGAGCGAGAAATACGTCAATGTGAGTGTAACGACGTTTAAACGACGCTTTAATTGTCATACTCAGGGCCAACTGGAAAGCGAAGAATGGCATGGTAAGCGGACTACTAGGGCGGCTCAAGTTACAGTTACCGCTGATTAGAAACTTGACGTAATCGAAATAAGGGAAGCTACACGTTCTTCGGGTTTTCAACCCGGTTTGGATTGCAACGTCGGAGGTCGGTCCGCGACTTAAAGATGGCGTTAATGCATTGGAAAACACGACCCGTAGCTTTCCACGTATTTCTTATTCTTTAAATGCTACAGTTCTGATCATTGTCGGCAAGAAATTGGTGCTTACACAAATCCCCTCTGCTTCGCAAGCTGCTATGCCTCGGAATAGTAATTCAGGTTTCCAAATTGACTAAGCTAACCTCCTATGTGACAAGTGAGCTTGGAAAACATAAGTGATTATCAAACGAAGTAAACCATTAACAGATTTGGATTTGTGAATTAGAAGAGAATTAGCCAGCATTTTTTCTTTAATCGTTTATTTTAACCTGTTCTAAATTTATTTTAATATAATTAGTATGATTCCTAATACGACTACTACAAAACCATTTTAGTGCAACCTGAAATTTTTTTAGTAAAAAATTGATTTTTATAGAGCTATTTTTGTTAGGTATGTCCCATACTATCAAGTGAAGCAATATGTGGCTGTGCCAATCAAACATAAGATTTCATTTATTTATTACCGTACCAAGCATTCGAGTAACATAAAAAATGCGTATAAATTCGAATAATAAAAATAAAATGCGAGTTCGATGTGCCATCACCTTTTACAAACATACCCTTGTACGACTATATAAATACATCACAGATCATTGGTTTTAGCTCATTATATCACAACGATACAACGATATGTGTCCTTTTACTCTATCTGGACGGACCATCCTCATTCAATAATCGTGTGGTCGTTTTATTAACGGTCACAATTTAATGAGGATAGAACTCAAAATTTTACTCTCTCTAAATTCAAGAATGCTTCACTATCATTATCTGTCGTACGGTTCATTCCAAACTAATTGATCAGGTTTTGTTTCACTCAATCATATCTGATATCATACAATATTCATCTTTCTACTCTGCTGAGACCTAATACATTTTCGACTCCAATGTGATCATTTACTAAATTGCTGCATTGGTTAGCATTTGCGCATCAGATTCGATGGAAGCCATTCTTATTTTTTCAAGAGCAAGAAAAATATTGAGTCCAGATCTAGACTAGGCTAACTTGTCGGGGATGGTCAACTAATTTGTGAACTTTATTCTCGATCAACCGTATGCTCTTTATAAGCTGAGCTAACATTAGTCAGTACCAGTATATCAATGTGAGAATTAGCCCACTGAGTAAAGTCCACTGTGTTTTACTAGTTCGACAGATCGGCGTCGCCATTGAACATCCTCCGTCTCCAATTGGTAGCTCTGTACAGTACGGATGTACAAGTCTTGCCGTTGCTTTAGTGATAATGTCGTCTGCCAAGTCCGCGGCCTCAGCCCCACACCGCGCTTCAATCATAGCCCGGGTACAGCGGATGTGATCGCGGAACATACTGTAACGTCACGAGTATTAAATGAACACAATTAAGGTTTGGATCTGTTGCGAGGTTTCTTTTTAATAGTTCGAATTTCCTGTCAGGTACTGCCGTTAGGTATTGCTTGTATGTTTACCTTTGGCTTAGACGCTAAATTATTTCACGCTCATGCAAAACCATAGACGGCGTGCGAATACGTGCGATGAAATTCAATTGTTTCTACCAGCTACTGATAGCAAACGACTCCTCTTACTTACCAACAGATTTTTTTCGTTCGCTGGTTGAAATTCTCTTCACCGAGATCATTCGATTCCGTTGTTGAACTCGAATGATTCAAGCTTAGCGTGGAGAGGTGCCTTTCTGCACAACGCCTATAATCGTCTTGCACTGTAGAGAAACAACTCGAGTGTTGGAGATACGCTGCAAGCATAACAAGATAATAGCAGCTGTTTAAAATAAATAACAGACCTAGCTTGCCTGTGCGGATTCCGCGCAACAACAAACATTATCAATAATTTTATCATTATTATTAGATTATCATTATAAAATAGTCAGCAAGGAGTCACAAAGTTTATCTATGCATGTAATGTGCAATAAATATTTGTATCTCTTAAAAACACTTATGCTCACTCGAATCTAAAGTATGTGACTGTTGATGAATCAGAAGATTACCATGATAAAAATCATATGGAATAATGAAGGTTCCAATGTCCTTTAATCGTGGAGATTCTTTACTGATAAGAAGGAGTCCACATGCACGAGTCGAGCATACCTTTTCGCGAAACTCATTCACCTTAGGAGAGATGAAGTTATACCTTTTCTGAAGAATGATCGTTTGTCACAGAAATCGGATATCATCTGCATTGCTCCATTTGTGAACCGCGAATAGCTTTGTCTCTGGCGTTCGTTAAAGCATTTTTCGGCAAATTTGCTTACGCATTCGACAGCCATATTCAGCTCGCTGCCAAAAATACAACGGCCAAATAGATCACATGAAAAAGTAATAAGTAAGAGGGCTCGTTAGTAGGGTCGTAATTCAAATCGGTTCATAGCGACAATATTAACGTTAGGCTCGCAAAGAGCATATCTCAGGTAACGGATGTGTATCATATATATGTCGATATATATATATGTCGACTTAACTACTTGATAATATGAAAAATAAACGATAATGATCACATTATTATTATCATTATCGTTCATTTGATAAGACAAATAGTTACAATAAAAAGATGCAATAATTTTATTATACTGTTCAAATAACAATCGTAAATCTTAGCGGGTGGCATTTATTTTTTTAATATGAGGTGCATCAATGGTTACGTTGTTTGATTATTATTTCCTAAATGGAATGGGATCAGTTAGCCTGCTATGATCTTCGTCGGCATGTGTACATTGGCCGGGTACTTACTATGCCTGTGGTGCTGGATGGCGTCTCCGAATTCGAAGGTGATTTAGTTATGTTAACCACTTTTTTATAACAAGGGAATATTCGCTCAAAGAAGAGTATCATCAAACGCATATGGATTTGAAATCTAGTATAAATCGTAATACTAGATTTTTTTTCTCAACCAACTTTCTAATAGTGGAGCTTATATATATCTAATGTCATAGTAAACCTTGGTGTCATATTAGGGTACTTGTTGAACCCTATTTGAAAATGTTCCCTTTCGGAGAAATCTAGACGACAATATTTTGATAACAGACTGTGGAGGAACAAGTAAATCACATTTGTGGGTGGGTCAAACGCCGTATGTTAGTGATCACAACTAGAATCTATGATTTATCCAATTACCTAGAACAGCCTTCTAGGGATTCAAATATCATGCTTGAGTTAGGCATGAGCTCAATCGGCTATTTGATTTAACAGCATGTCTTAAAAAAAGGCAACAACTGTATTTCCCACGGCGCATCATTGAGACTATATAGTGTCACCTCAAGTGAGTGTAGACACGGAATGGCGTATTTTTGTAAACAGGAGTTAGAACGAAGCAAGGAGGAGTCACGGAGGCAGCACAGTGTAGCCGAGTCTATTACTGATAGATACTCCTCTTTGTTTGAAATAAGCAGGGCCTTTTTCTATCGTCAACCTAATGTTGTGGAAGAACCTGCAATTGCTGATACTTGAAGCGAAATCTCTTCGATATACGTCATCGTGTTTTGTATTTACTACACTTCAATATGGTACGTGAGAAATAGATCTTAGCCAACGTGCGAAGATCATGCAAGGGACGACCGTTCTTTAGAGAGGGTACATTGGATATGCATTTGCAAAATAAAGTTGAAAAATGAGAAATTGACGCACAATGACGGTTAGGATCGTGAAAACAGTTTAGCAAAAAATGGGAAAATTGCTTTCTCAACATGACATAATCACCGTCGCTTGCAGTAACTCGAAAATATGTCCCTGTATTTACAGCCGGCTTCAACGAAGAAGTGCTCAAAATATACTTCGATAATGCCAATACTTTGCCACTAAGAAAAAGTAATGCGCCGCGCTAAAAATTTTCACTCGATCTGTTCTTACACTTTTTCGCCGCCTTGCTTGTATTATGCATTTACTATGAGCTTCTTGTTAACTCGTATGCAATTGATCCTATTTTATGCATGATGGGGTCTTACACGATTTTTGGATATTGCAAAAAGCTTGTGTCTAAAGCAGACAAGTGCATGTAAACTAGTCTTGCTTGGAGTATCAATAACAGAGGCTTCTTCATGGATTGTAGCTGCCGCTTAATAGGCATGAGCTTACTGATGCCAAATTTATTAGCTCCTTTTCTACTGGAAGAACCTTTTCTAACGACAGCTTTAGTTTTGTACAGCCTTTGGCTGTTTTCTGTATCTTTCAGTTGTTTGCTGGAAAAAACGCCTTGTTGCGAGTCGACCAGCACTTTATCATTAATTTCATTTAGAGCGGCCCCGATTAGGTTTCTACAAGCACTGGGGGAAACGAGTAGTAAAATGGCTTATTCTAAGTAATTACACTGGATTTAGGACTGATCAAGGAGACACGACGTTTGAATATAAATATATTTGATAGATTCGTGAGCGACATTGTACAGTTTAGCTTATGTACTATGAAGATACGATTGTCAAAACGGTTTTATTATTTCACACCGCCAAAATGCCGAGTGACTTCAAAGAACCAAGCGTTTCCCTAGGAATATAAAACGCATCATACGCGAAGCAACGAACCCGCCAGTGTAATTAAAGAAAGATCATCTCTGAGCATTTAGCGGCTTGTTCCAGGTACAGAATGCATAACTATGCACACAAGTCATTATAGACTGTAAAGCTCTCCAAACATGTAGCCTTCAGTCCACCAATGGAAAGCCTAGTTTTGGACTTGATCTCATTTATGCCTTGGTTTTCCATTTCGCGCAAAGATGGGTACTGCTCGATAGAATATGGTAATTCGTGATTTCAACGCCTTTAACAATGACAGCAACTTCTCAACCCATCCTGATCCTGTTTCGTCTTTACGAAGAAGGTGTGGCGACATGCCGTCTTTATTGGTTTATGTTGTTCAGAACATCAACACGCGGAAGAAAGTTTAGCTCAGGTTAAATTAAAGAGACCTTTGGAACACACAACAGACCAGAGTGGCTTTCTTTGACTGACTTTTGCATCAGCGGCAAAGAGTTTCTCATCAGGGAACAGTCGACGACAATCGGATCGTTCATGCTTAAAACAGCTTTAGGAAATAGTACAGCAAGGAAGTTTCTTGAGCTTCGCATCTTCAGAAAATATCTCTTTGATTTTTTAATGGTGCTGGAAAATGACCTGAAACTCTCGTGAATATGGTGAGATGTGCCTTAGCGAAAACTTACGTTTGAATTTGGAATTGAACTTTAATGTCATAATAAAAACCCTTTTACACTTTTCCATTCGTTTTTGGCATTTTTGAGTTAATCTTCTCCCTCTTAGTTTTTATACTTGGAAAATTTTAGCATGGTTTTCGCGTACTTGAATAGATCAGCACACAGCCCTGAACGTCTCGAAGTTGTATTTGAAGTCGTTACGAAAAAAACTGTGAAAAGCAATTATACTTGGAACTCTAGTGTAATACGTCTGTTTGGCTTCGACGCTGTCTAGTCACATTACGCACATCGTTCATCGTCAAAAACACTGAGGGCTGACAGAGACGTCAGTTCTACGCTCACGTTGTTCTATCCCAAACAAGTATAAGTCTCTGCGGTTTGCGGTTCCGGTAAGACAATGCGCATCTTGAGGCGGGCAGTAACCGAGCGTTGTTTTGGCTCGCTTTATCTTATTTCCTACCGCCATTTTATTTTCAAAAGTAATTAAGAAGCCTGCAGTTCTGGCTCAATATTCAGGACCGCACACATAACACTGGTGCATCAATTTCTGGTGCCAAGTGTCAAATAATTGTGGTTTTCAAGCAGTAACTATGAAGCGATTGTTCACAACAGCCGCCGTTTCAATGAATAGTATTCTATTCTTTTCGGATTGTAGCCGCCGATTTCTACGTAACACAGCACAAACAACTTTATTATCCATGTGCTTTTTTTCTTTAGCAAGATCGTCATTGTTCCATCAATTACGCTCAATTGTCGAACGTGAATGAAGAATAAACGGAACGCATTGAATGGTACGTCTTCTCCGCTCGATCAAATGTTGATGTGAAAGTCACGCGACGCTTACATTTCCTCAAACGTTATCATAACAGAACAAAGAGGAGTTGCAGGTATGTGTGTAAAACTTTCATACATTGAGGCACATTGTGTAGGACAAATAGTATTACTAAATAGAGCGTCTTGGCTAGTTTGCTTTGTCGAGTTGCAGAACCTTATGACAAGCAGAAACCCGTTTTGACAAATAAATAATTCTGTTTATGCGTTCAACAAGTTTCCTTGGGGATTAATTCGGTTATTACGCGGAGCGTAAAAGCCACTCCTTTAGTTATAGTCTCACGGAGTATCCTCTTTTGGTTATATGGAACGCGCTTATAGGCAAAGATATCAGAGTTATGAGGATTCAGTTTAGGTGGACAGAACCGGGTCACTTATAGATACACCGTAATTTATTGTGCAAACTGAAAAATCTTGAAAAATGTGCTGAAGGTAGTCCCTCTAAAAGTGCTTTCTCTGCAATAACAATAGCACCAACAGCTCTGGAAGATGTCAGGAAAAGTTACTTTGTTAGGCTTCGATTTAGTAAACGTCTATATAAGTAGTAACTGGCCGGTTACTCGGCAAAACATCAGACAGCGTTCGACAAGGACGTCGCCAACCACATCATTTTCAAGTCACCACTGGCCACTGCTAACAGCCGCAACGGTGTTGTCGATATTATTTCTATCAAAAAGACAAAAGCCTATCTGCTTTCTTTATCTGCCTAGATGTTGTCCTTTTGTCCTGCTTAGCATTCCCGTGTGTGCGAGTACATCTATACGTGATGCGTCAACTTATAACGATCAATATGGTCAAACGCTTTCTTCAGTCGTTGTATTTCTTTACGACGATGAGTGAGGGCATTTGGGGCATATTGAATGTAAGGCAGAGAAAACTGATCGTCTTCATTTTTGCCAATTTGTTTTTTTCTATCACTGCCACTTTCTTCGTTGTTGTATCGAAATGGTGACGAGTGGTGCGATCAGCACGCTGCTAACGTAATGTTGCCGTTAACCGTGAATGGATTCGACTGCAAACGGGTAGCCAAACGTTTACATTTAAAAAGGAAATATGCTAAAGACTAACACAACAAAGCATGCCTGCACTGCTGACAGAGGCCAATAATATATTTTTGGTTGACTGTTATATACATAGATATATATATGCATAGCAGCGACAATTTAGGCGGTACTGGCCATGGTAAACACGTTTCCTTTGTCTGTTCTGATACTCGAACATATGTTTTGGAATAACGGACTTAATACGATGCTGCTACAACCGCTTAAATGGACACCCCGTGTCCTAAATTTTCGTCTCAACGTCACTAACTGAAACTGCGTCGGTGTTCCTGGCCTGATCGCTTAGAACGATACAATCACTTTCATTACCCGTATCGCTCGGACAGTTTATTATTACATCCGTAGTACTTTTCCTTTATTTTTTTTATATTTTACTGACGGCACCAACATAAGAACGCTATGAAGAGTTTGCTGTTGGTGCAAAGACGAACACTTGGGCGATATTAATGTGCAATTGTATATATTTGCAGATTGTATTAAGCATATTATACAGAAACAACAGAATATATCAGAGTCAGACATAATGAAATAGTAGTTCATGTTGACTAGGTAAACTTACACAAAAGCTGAGCAGTCGTTTGATTCTTTACAGAATAAATTGTGGCAGGTGTGGACGTTAGCAAACGCCCGTTTATATTTTTATGAAATGCAACCTCGTCTTTATTCTGCCATCTTTTAATGCTATTCGATCCAGGAACATAATTCGGATTGAACTATACAGTAAAGTTTGCAACGGATAATTCAAGGATGGATGCACATTAATTTTGGAATTAAATTAACTTTTAAGCTTTCGAATTAGAAGAAATGGCATAATTACAAATTTTGGATTTCCAAAGTGTGACGACTGTGTCTAATATTCTGTCTCAGACTAGTTGTTCGGATTGCGGTTACGGCTTTTCTGTAAAGCAAAAGACGATATTCGTCCATTACTGAAAACGAGTTCACACTGACCTCAATATGGAAATCTTCGCTAAGATCAATAAAGGAAACCCTTTAACGCAATATAAACGTTTGTCACTTCACCGTCTCAAAAAGCCACAGCGTTGGATATTCTCTATTTCGATTCAAGCAATGCAGATAAAAAGTGCCTAAAAGGTACAGCAATCGTTCGTGATCCATTTGCTTCGACCTTTAGTGACCTCTCACTACGAGATGGTAAGAGGAATATTCGTTTACCTTTTTTGTCGACTTGTCACATCGCGACACGAGAGTCATTGCGTCGTCTCTTAATTAAATGCTTTCTTTACCACACCTCCATTCGGTGTCAATAATATCCCTTTCTCTCCTATCGTTTGGGTCGTAACGACCTTATTGCTGATATAAACGCACTGCGGTGATCCATTCAATGAACAAAATCGATAAAATTATCAATAGCCATAGTACATCGTGTTCTACTAATAGAATTATTGCGGGTTTACCTAATGCACTGCGGCCAAGAAGAAACATTTTGAAATTATCTGTGAGAAGTACCATCCACTATAGCAATGCTATCCAATCGTATCAACCGCATATAACAAGGATGTTAAATGTAAACGGAAGATACCCTGTAACCGGCTTTGTAAGGAACTGGTAAACTCGACTTCTCGCTGTTATGACCTTAGGTGTATACGTTGGTTTGTGCTTTACCCGTAGATGACGATTCCACATGGATTTCAAAACGTACATAAAAGTATATCACATAGTAGTAGTACGACTTTAATAACGCTACGGGAACCTTTTTTAGGTTGTCAGTGAAAAGTACAATCCACTAATCTAACTTTGTGACTCGAGAGTTAACAATTTTGCTCTGTTAGCTAGTTGCTCGAAATTAATTGTGGTCAAACCGCTCTCTGTCATTAAGCATATGCCTGTGCCTGTTTGTATCAAGGGACGAAATAGGATCTGTTAAGTCATTTCACATTAACAAAAAAACACGGGGGTTGTGTCTTATGTTTGTTCAGATTGCGTTAAGTATAGAGAATCCCGATTACAGGCTGAGACAGGAACATCTTCGAAGGCTACTGTAGCTGACCGCAAGCCTTAAATAACAACGAATCCCACTTATTGCGCCGATGTCTCTACCAGACCTACTCAGACGAGGTTAGTATCAATATTAAAGATTGAAAGCGGTCTCATCAAATAATATCGTTCAGATCTTCTCTTCGCGAGATGTAACAGGTTTCCTAATGTCCTGTCGATGCTGTAATTGAACTCATCCGAACGTTATGTGCACGTGACAATTCAATAAGGTTACCTGTAATATTTAACTGTGTGTAACATATCCTGTGTGAAATCTATTAAATAGCATAGTATACAATTATGGTATATCCAAAATTTTACTAAAGCCAATGCAAGATCCGGAATCCCTAATTCGAAACTTGGTTCTTGTTAATACGATGTATTAACTAATCTGACGTAAAGAGATCATCAACTATCGTAAGAACGATTTATGTTCTAGCTTACAAGGCAATAAGGGCGTTTATAAGAAGTTTGCTTCAAACTCAGGATTAAGGAGCATCCTTTTTGTTGTTGAAAAGGTGAATTTCAAAAGGGACAATTTTGATTTTTAGGTTGTAGCAAAAAAAAAACATAAGCCTAATAATACTATCCTCTGGGACCAAAGTCTCTCTTTGAATATTATAATTAGCTGTGTCTAAATGATTTCTTTTTATGTATAGCAGGTCAAGAGCCAATCTACAGTGTTGTTGTTATAATATTTTTTTTAGGTACAAAAGTGCTCATCGAATCGCACCGTGATGGACGTGGTCTGCGACCGTTGATATCGCTACGACATTTATGACGAGCTCATTATTTCCAGTGCCCAGTTCAACTCTTACGGGTACGTCTCTTATACGATAATTAGTAGAAATCGTTTGATGAAATAGTTGGAATATTGGAGCACTGTCAATATTTTTGTGTATTCAAGTCTGATTCTGATTTATTCTAAAAGACAATGTTTGTTCAGATAGATAAATAGTTTAGAAAGGTAGATAGATAGGTAGATGCATAAATATAGGTAGGTAGCTAGACAGACAGACAGACAAACAAAAGACTTCTAATTTACATTGGAACATTGATAGGAAAACACATCACCTGATACACGTATCACATGTGTTTGCCTCAGTTTATTGTAGCTCAGAGCATGTTATTTCATATGGTCATACACAGCTGAAGTGCCGAAACCCTTAGTTGATTCTTTCAAGCGAAGTGTTTTGGCGCAAGAAAATTGGCGCATCACTGGTGCTGCCCGCGAGCGAATCATCGATCTTATTATACATCCTTCACTTAAAGACTAGCGATAATTGAACAAGTTTATCCACTCGGAAACCAAGCATATACACACACTATCGGAACCATTTAGTTATTACATTTAGTTTTTGTCTAACTTTGTGAAACGCTTCAATGGTGTCGTGTTGGGTAAAGACGTGACAGTAATGAGGTCATTTTTACAATTTTATTTTTATGTTATCTAAAGGATTGGTTTGCCGAAAGCTGAGGAAGCATTTCAATGAAGTTTCTTTTGTTGCAAAGAGAAATGCCTGACTGCTGCGTTGATACGGTACTGCAAAGTAAAAGTCGCCTCGTTTGATAGATGAATATATATATATATATGGTGTAATTGAACAGTTCGGCAAAACGCTTGATGTCGTGAGGGGTTATAAATGAAGTCACCTTTAATCCATCGTAAATAGTGATCATCGTAAGTCACTGCTTTTTAAAGTGCTAGCAACTTGCGATAATATTTTGTCATACATCTCACAATTTTATACTATTACTTCTACATCTCCTTCTATATATTCCTGGTAGTGGTGATCTCTTACGTATGCTATATGGTAAAAGTATGTTTTTTTTTACAAAGTCACGGTATTTAGTATTTGTTAGGCCGAGAATTGAATTAGGCTCACTCGTATCAGATTTAAATAGTTCCAATTAGTTTTTGCGCGCTTCTTAATATTCGCTACGCGAGCAAATAAAAGCGTGCGGTCATATTGGGTGATTAATCTGCACGTCACAGTTACACAAAATGCACAAAAATGAACGTTCACGAGTCGGAAGGAATTGTCGAGTGACTCGTTACGAAACAACGATCAGGTCGTTCTTAAATATATCTGTTGTTCCAATAATGGCTTGCTCCAGGAACACGTCATGCATGCAGTTAGTCGTGATACACGTTAAATAGCAGCTTCTCAGGGTAGCTTTACGTAGCGCGCTTACGTAGCGTAGAAATCGTTCGAGCGCCGAAAGTATTATTCGTCCCTTTGAGTGCAACTGCTGGATTCAGTGAGGCTGTGTCTAGTCGAAATTTATTTAGGTGATTTATTATTCGAATCTATTCTGTCTGTAAATCTTAGCGGTATCTTGTGATATGCTGCTCTATTTTATCACCAGCTGCTATTGCACAAAAAAGAATATCAATAATATATATTTCATTGGTAATAGGCCTGCCATTGTACAATTGAATATATCAGTTGATATAGTTTAAGGATAAAGGAGATTGCAACTGAAATAAAATCGCAATGCTTTGAATATTAATGCACATACGAAGTTTACTATAACCTATAGCAGTAAGTTATTGTGACTCTGATAATTCAACTTACTGGTTTTGGGCGAACGCGAATACATATTATAGCACATCGGTAAAGCCATTGCGCCACTGTTTGACTTGTCGACCTCTATCTGGCCACAGACTTATTCAAATTCCGATCGGAACTAAGTTAATTAAGTAATAGAAACTGTGCGGAAACTAACTCACTTTTAAATAATACACATGCATATCAAGATCAAAACGCACCACTGACAGCTGAAGACTGAACGGACGGGGTCGAGAAAAGGGCCAAGCCAGCTTGCCGCAACACAATCTGATTTACTATGTTACGGCACATACATGTGGAAAAATATAGCTTCCACAGATGATTCAGAAGGACGACTTTAAAAATATGGAATACGTATATACATGTCTGGCAGAGTAAAACAAAGCATAAACGCAAAGTTCTTTTTCATATCAGTGCGTATGTTTATATATATATATATATGTATATATATAGTACGTTTATAATTTATCACTGGTCCATCTTTATGGTTTACTAAATATACTATAAGCAATTGTTTCTAAGTTAGGACAATGTTTGCATTGTTTTTTTGCACCCCGTTAGCGGATACTATTATATCGTATCTCAGATCTTCGTAGTACATACAACGCTTGTGCGTATAGTAATACATGCCTGGAATAATGTCAGCCTCGCTGGATCGAAAACACTGTACTGTGTCGGAAGATTTTCAAATTGCCCCTTTTCACCGTTTGCCTATTCCAGGTATTTCTTTGTTCCCTGTCTAGTCAATTATTCATTCCTAAAAGCATTCAGGCGTCTCGAGTGGTTGTCATTTAGCTAGAAACATTGTGCACGTAAGCACCCCAGACAGAAAGTGACTATTATAGCTTCGTTATTCACAGGCACTGAAGCTGGGCTGAACATTCGAATGCCACCGCTGGCACATACTTGCAGGCGACGACCCGTACCCCATCGATGCAATAGTAAAGTAAGGATGGGAATTTGAGGCGCGAGATTAGCTGATCTTTTGCTGTTGACGCATCTGGACTAGCGAGAAATCGGTGAATCATCAAAAATACGTCCGTCGGCCTCCGAAGCCGTTATGAGCAATGCGAGTTATATACGCTTGAGGGCCGTAACACCAAAGGCACATATACTTAAACTCTTACAGTTGCTAAGTAATAAGTTTATATAGCATTCGTCCTTCTAGCGGCTAACATTTATACAGATGTGCTACCTCGTTGCTGTTTGTTGATGCTAGTCAACGTATTTATTATAACGCATATTCGATTTAGGCTGTCTATAATACGACGGACTTCGGCGTTGATTTGGCAAGAAATCTATTTAATTGAAATTAGCATACAAAATGAACACACTTAGGTCTAGCAAAAGATAGAAAAGTTTTTACTATGAGCAAAAAAAAAAACTTAACATTGATACCATCAGTCTTTTACAGAAACTGCACCTGCAAGCATTTGTCGTTTAGAGCTTTAGGTCGACCCTGCTGCAGTGTCCAGGTGAGTGCGTTTAACTGCAGACGCAGTACTAAGAATTGAAGTATAAAAGATTTTTCGAAATTCCTCATATATAAAAAAAAAAAAATAACATAGAAACATGTTATCTGTTTTACTACAAATATCGCAATGCGAATGAGGCAGAAACAGCAACTTTGGATATAACCAAATGCCAGTGATCTAATAGTATGTCGAGTATGAATCTTGAATGTCAAACACATGGGTTCAGCTTCGTATACGTTTCATTATTTATTATATTATTTTTGTTAGACTAGTTGAAGTTTTATTAAAACTTCAAAAAGTGTAAAGTTCAAACTTGTGTAGCTATTCAAGTGCCTGAATGGTGACTGCATTTTGTATAAAGGGTCTGTAAACTATAATATAAACTGAACTTTAATATTATCACTAATTCTTTTCGTAGTACGAATTCGAACACGCGTGCCTCTAACTGTTCTGCTTTTAAGGCAGGTAACCGATAGGCCCACAATTGCAAAGAATATTTTCGTTGTTGTGTAGGACTATGTTTTTACTAATGTACTCTTGTATTCTATATGAAGGAGTATATAATCAAAGCCAATTAGAAAAAGAGCGGATTCGTAAAATAAATGGCATTATTTGCATCCTCCAGAATTACGTATGCGTGTGTGCCTTTTAACTGGTGGTTACAATACATTGCACAGTGTAACGTTATCATTATAGGCAGGGTAAATCCTTTAAAAGGACACATAGGCCAATTAGCTTGAATGCCCAGATACACCTAGACGAACGATTTAAACAGGGTCTCGTTTGTGCTACGATAATAAATTCAAATGATATTATCACTCTAGAAAATACTTTGTGCTATGAGGGGTCAGGTTTCGGTTTTAATTAGATGCTCTCATTCTGCTGACATCATAGGTTTCTGATCACCCTCCATCGCGTGGCGCCCCGGCGAAATATACGCAGTTCCTGCCATATAATAACATAAACGCATCAGTCAGGTAAACTACTACGTGACTACTTGCTGGAGAAAGGTGGTAGCCATGTCTCTTGGCGTTAATTTCCACTTGGATGAGATGTCATGGCCTAAATCGCTTTATGAACTTAATCAGTTTCACCCGACTGTCACAGCCTATAAAAATCCGCTCCAACCGAAATCGGGAGACTGAACACATTTCGAAACCTTTTCTCTGCAGCAACACAAACAGTTCTGCTTTGAGCTTTAACTTCCTTTTACGCTAATAACAGCTTATAATGGCATGAAACTTAGATGAGTGTTCATTATAGTAATGGAACTAGCTAGCTCAGCGAAAAATTTATCAGCGATTCAACATTATATATATTCAAATTCTACTGGCTTGTGCAATTTAAATGATTCACCATATATGCGTTGATATAACAGGAAGTACAAGCCCTACTTGAACATGAGTCGATTGCTGTCCTTACCTACTAATTGAAATTTTACGAAAATTCCAATTAGACGTTTCAAGGAAAATTTAGCTTGCCGTATTTTGCGAAATGAGTATATCATTCAGACAGTAAACACTTCGGCTTTGAGTTGGACTAAATAAACGTATGTTTACTATTAGCGTCTGTCCAAAGTTTCGTGTAGCGTTATTTCGAAATTCAGATAGATAGAATATGATTCTGTTTCGAAATTCAGAAACGTCTACTCGATAAATACAGTTAATCCAATTAAGCCTATCCATCCTGAATAGAAAGCCGCTGTATATCATGTAACGTTTTGCAGTGTTAATAATAATAAGCTAGTTCTACCAGTGCAGAGCCAATAGTAGGCTGAGGTAGTATATTTCGATTCGGAGATTTTCTGGGGCTTTTTAAAGTATCTATGCGAAGCTATCTGTCCCATAAATGAAATCGGGAGTTTTTATAGACGGAGTCGTCCAGCGCGAATGAAAAGTAACAAAAATTGTAATGTAACATATAGTGTAGCAATGAATAATAATGTCGCTGACGGATACACGGGTACAGTTTAGCTTGTATGAGTTGCCGTCAGCTCATTCTAAGGATTACTGCCATTATTTATTTCGAAAACGTACTGAACGGTCTTAGTTAAACTGGTTTGTCTCATATGAGTTACATTTTGCAGAATTTGTTTGATATCCAATTAACCGTGTGCTGGCTAATCGCAGAAAGAACGACTAGAAACTATTTGATCTATTTTCTGACGGGCCTTCTGTAATGTCAGGCCGATAAATTAACATATGTATATATAAATTAACCAGTTATCACAACGATGGCAAAACGATCTCAAAAGCCAACATCCCAAGGGATTGTACAGTGATTCGGGAAACAATGTTTATTTCAAGCTTTCCAGAGAACTTTGTGCAGTGTACTTATACACTGTGGAAATATCGCAATTGTTTTCCCAGTTTTCAGGTATGACTACAGATAAATTATTACATGGAGTAAAAAGGCAAACTTAAATAACTTAAATGATTGTAACATGAACGAGAGTGGCTCGAGAATCTCCTTGGCTTGAAGCATGTCTTCATTTCTCTCTAGCGGCGTTACCTTTTAATCACAGTTAATTAAACCCGATCTAGACAAATTGTCTCTGCGAACTATGTGTGTTATTCCCCTAATATGCCGCTTGTTGTCACTAGACGAATTTTAATATTTTTAATTGTGGAGAAAATTTATATGCGGGACCTACTTCGCCAAATGAGCCACTTTGCGTCAGAAAATCGGTTCTATTCGAACGCATTAAAAGTGTCCACAGCGCGTAAACGCTATTCAGATATCGGCCGCATTTTTTCTCACTTTCTGCTATCTTCCCATCTTGGGCTTCTGCAGGTGCTTCAACCCCAGCACGCCTGCTGTCCGTTCGTTCATCCACTTGAACCGCTGTTCACCCCGTTAGGCATCGGTCCGTTGCGATGCTTAATTCGACAGCGTCTGACACCTTAATAATCTGTTTTTCTTTGTAGACTTCACCTTCATTCAAGAACTTAGGTGATGTGTTCCAACCATGTAAGCATAACTTTATAACAAAACTAATCGGCGAGATGAATCTGCAATCGGTTCTTAACACAGTTTGCTGCTGGTGTGGATAACGCTTTGACCGGATCAAGCAGTGTCCGTTTGTGTTCGAATCACAGCTGACAGAACATAGAGCTATTCTACGAAATACGCACACCGGACACGCGTTTGCGTTTACTTAGATATTCATGCAAATTTATTATATTTTAGATACGTCGGTATTTAGGCTGAAACATTGAATTTAGGAAAAACGCACGAAGCAAGAACGACTCATAATGGTGTTGTGGTAAAATCTGATAGTGATAATTGAAATTGGACAGCTGTGCAAAGTAAATATGTTTCTAGAATAATTGCAGCGGGAGATGTGAAGGACTTGATAAAGGATACGAGTATTATCGCTGAAATTGATCCAGTTGGTAAGATCATTTGCTCTGATAGCGCTACCTTCCCGAATGTTGAGAAGCATGGGCGCTCTCTTTTTGATAAGTACCAGCGGAACACAGCTAACTAAGCTGTTGCTACAAGTTCGATAATAACTTCACGGGTAGAAAAGTTCGTTCGAAGACGGGGTTTGCGGTGGGTGAGGGCTTTTTTGTCCTAATATGATAAGGCTTAGAACATTCGCAGCTTTTGTTGAAGAATTTTTTTCTGTAAAATGACATGATATATAGTTGCGTTATCGATTCCGCTTCTGTAAGTTTAAAAGAATTTTTTTTTAAACATCTTCAGCTGTTACATCTACGTGTAACCTCCATTTTGTAACACTTAGATCCCTATCTATATAGAATCCCTAAAAAAAGTGATCTGAATTAGACCCTTTTCTCGATCTTTATGACCGATTCGTAGGATCTGGAACCTTGCAAACCTGGGAACCTTTGTAACTGAACAAACTAGTCCGAAGTGTTTAATATTTGCGTTTAATGTCAAGGAGTTTGCTGGAGTCTATCACTGATTGGGATAGAATAAAGGCATTAAAACACCATAACTCAAAGGGCTTTAAGTCAAAAATGATACTTTAAATACGCCTAATAGACACAACGTAGCTGATCTCTTCGTCTATAAATGATATTCTCAAAAAAGCATACTTAGAAATAATCATGTGCGGAAGACAGACGTTTGAATAAGCAATCTAAATCAACCTTCATTAGTGTAACCTCTAAATCCCAACCTCTGTCGACTAGCGACAAAATACATGTGACCACTATTTTTTTTTTATTAATTAGGTATTTGAGAAATATTTGACAATTTTTGAATAGTTTAATAATCCAAACAAGAAAAAATTATAATTATTGATAATAATGAGATGGCCTCTTCGAACATTGACAGGTATTATTTTTAAGAAAAGACGTTTTATCTTACCGAAGCTTTATAGAATTGTTACCGGTTCGTTCCGCCAATATGATGCTGTTAATTTTATTAAATAATTTCTCTTTCTTCTAAGTGGTTGAACCTCTGCGACGAAGATTTTTTTGCAGTGGCACACATTCGAGTGAGTTCTGACCCTGTAAACTATCTGCTTATTGACTGTACCTAGGCTAACCGTTGCCGTCCATTGCGGTGAATGGGCAAAAACTCAGCCAACGAGGTGAGATCATAGTTTCCTAAAGTTTCCTTTATCTGTACGAATAGATATTTTGCTATAGACCAGTTAATCTTCCTCGTACAATTCTGTTCAGCTAGATTTAGAGCGCTTGAAAAGCCCGTAAAGTAAGGGTTGTCTTTGCCATTCGACCTTCCATTTCATAAGCTAGCTTTCAGTCGCAGCCTTGGGCAAGAATCAGTGCCTCGCGCGATTTGAGACAGCAAAGTAGTCTACTTAATGTTATGTTATCAAACGGCCTAATGTCGATTGGTGAAATAAAACTCCTGTCTTTTTTTTCTTTTTTTTTTTTTATAAATGAATACGATCGGGTACTTATTACACACGCCATACTGTGTTGATTCAGAAAATTAAACTCAACGCCTGACGTTTACCGTTTTGCAACTGAGTACCTTATAAGACTTGAGTATGCCACATGTTCGTCTGATACGAAAAGCGACATGCGGACCAAATAAGCATTGGGTAAACGATAAGATTGCCAACAAAAACCCTTGGACTACACTGCCTGCCCTAAAATAGATGCATTATATTAGATTCGATTTGAAAGTAATGGCCAGTTTTGCATTGCATTTACTCCGCTTGTTGCAAGCTGTAATATAGAAGCTCCTCTTTCTTAGGCTTCGATCTCAACAGTAGGTTCTAACACTTGGATAAACAAGATTGTGCGACCGAAAAACATAAATACGAAAAGGAACGACTTTTTAAGGACACATAGGACTCATTGCTGCCCTTTGTTAACAGAGGTTCCAGCGATACCCAGCGGTTTATGATATTCTCAGAAAAATATGTGTTTAGATTACTAAATCTGAGGCAAGACAATGGTAATCATTAAAGGAAAATAAGGAAGTGGAATAATAGTAATAATTAATTGTGCTACATTCTGGCTTACGGTTCTTATGTTTCCCTTATATTCAGCCTACTATTATATACGTTGCCCTATATCTATGTTGAAGTAAAAAAGTATGTATTGTTATTATTATTGTTGTTTATCTTAAAAAGAAAAAAGGTCATATTTTTCGTATATAAATACTGTTACACCTGCGCAATTGTGGTAGATGCCTACGATAGCACCAACCCGAATGAATCGCAATGATTAGCGTTCATAATTGAACTTGAGACGGGTTTATTGAGAATCTTTGTAAATGGACTCTTCGAAAGGACTCGAAAGACTTACTCACATACTTATTTGCTGCGGTTGTTTTTACCATTGAAACAAACCGTTGATTTTTCATATCAGCCCCACAAATATTAACACCATCATTACTAAATAACACTTTTGGTAACAAAAAGTTACTGAATTTAGTTAATTTGCTGTTGAAAAAATCGTGGCCTTATATTTGAACGGACAGAAGTTCTCATCCGGAAGTATCACATAGACCGAATTCAATTCGACTGTGAGACACAATAAGACTAAGAACAGCCAGCCAGGTAAAAAAGATCATATTATTTTAGCAGATCTACATATATATATGTATATATATATATACTTTTTTGGAGGCGAGAATAATAGCCTGGCCTTCCAGCTGGTGGCTTAAAAATTCGACTTAAAAATACTATTTTCAACCAAAAACGCGCGCCACTGCATACCGTTAACACTTAGATATACTAAAATTTTAAACACCCAAGCAATGGGTAATAGTATATCGATAGACGCAACAAAAAATAGAAACAAACACTCGTTGTTATAGGCTGTTTTTCACCTGACGGCATCAAATATATATGACTTTTTTCAACATGCGTTAAAATTACCACACGCAGATCACGTCAAATCACGATCGAACAGTTCGATCTAGCAATGTGTTTACATCGCTACGGTATATTCCAGTTTGTAACCTAGGTTGTATGAATAACAGTAACCTAAATTGGTTCGATAATATTGGCATTATTCGATATTAGGTAGATAGATAGATAGAGGGCATTCTGTACATCCGCTATGAGGGAGAAACGAAGGGTGTCAAGGCTATTGTTCAGGCTGTTCAGACAGATCGAGCGAACAAATATTCCTATTGAGCTCTCTCTAACCATCATGTCATGGGTTAGCTATTACCTTTTCTATATTCGCTAGTAACTCTGCGCTGGAGAAAAAATGCAAAAGACAAAACTTTGGGAAAACTCAGACCGCATTATAGTAGCAGTATGACTTAATTTCGGCCTTACGAGACGTCTCCAGTTGATAGATTCGCTTCTCATCTACAAGCAGACAAATATACGTCACTGGTTATCGCATTTCTGTGTAACTCCAATCTCGATCGGTGAAAATATAATGCTGATTTTAAACGTGTTCCAAGTTTAAATTGGACGCACGTTTCATTCGAAAGCCTGGGATATCGACCTTGTCTTTTCGCTCTTAGACACTAAGAAACAACTTAATTGAATGTGGCTTGTCTTTTTCTTGTTTAACTATAATACATACTCGCATAACGTGTCATCATGTGGGAACTCTTGTTCGGACACGAGTGCCTCCAGTTTCTTGACGCAAGTTGTTACTGCCTCCGAATTACAGTCGATTGCGGCTGTTAACGACGCGCTTGCGAAACGGATCACACCTTCAGGTAGAAAAAGATGAAAAAAAAGGCGTAAGAGACTGAAACACATGCAGTGAGGTACATCAGACCCTGTTTTTGTTAGCTTGAAAAATATGGCGTTTTAATGTTAATTAAAAGACAACAGTGTATGAAATGGATAGCCGTAAACATCGTTTGAATGTTCTTTAACCATTTCGAAACTGAATGCTCATACACTAACTCAATAAATCCATTTAGATTTAGAGAAAAGCTAGGTAGTAGTAACTATGGAATCACGTCGAACAGCTCCATAAAGCCATCTATATATCTAATTGTGTTAGTGCATCATGCTTCTTGTTCAACGATACTTATCATTACTACACCTGGAGTATATAAAGTTCATTTAATTGCTGAAGTGCTTAAATGAATTGCTAGTTGGTAAGAAGTAGAGCACAACGAAAAGCTAAATACGGGTCTTTCAGCCAAAGACCTTCCCAGAATATTACAAACAGAAATCGCTGTTTTCTATACGTTACGTTCCTACGGCAGAACCCATTGTTGTCAGTGTTCGTTTCTTTTTTTTTGCCTTGTTGACCAGAACCATTCGATCACATACCGTAAGTACATATAAAGGACCTTTTCTCAAGTATATTTATATAATTCCGCCTTCTTGCTTACCAGAGCCCTGTCGAATTAGAAAATAAAAGCGTTTTTGCTGTGATATACCTCGACTAACCAAGGCATAGGGCAAAATTAAGGAAATGATTAGCATCGAAAACAGTAAAAACACGTGCGCATACTCAAGCAATAATTGGTGATTAAGGTTAGACAGCCTTTGAATGAGAACCTGTACGTCGTGCAATAGCTCAGCCCTGGACTGAATCCAAAGGCAGTTTCATACTTATCGATCGATTGCTGACCAGACCATTTCCGTAGCTGGTCTTTATTGAAGCAATTACTTGGTTCTACTATTGGTAAAAAAATTGCCGCTGATACAGTATGTTACATCCAAACCCAAATGACGAAAAAGAAATTATCTACGATCTATCTGGAAGACAAATCTATAGCATCACCTAATAATGAGAATTTTAGCGCTTTTACGAGCATTCAATTGCTCTAAAGACGTTATGTATAGCATCGTCACATATGGACATCATTAGTGAAGTACTACAGTGGGTAAATCGGTGGCTATGGCTGCTCGGCTGATGGTAGACAGAATTGATAAAATGAATTCGGTTTTCTCGAGTTCCAGGTAATGACAGGACCTGCCGTGTCGTATTTTGTATATTCGATCATCTTATGTTCATGTTCAATTCATTCTAAACAACAATTAGACGTTTATCATGGATTGCACTAACTAGGAGTGGTAGGAAATGCGGGTAATTTGTCGTGGGAGCAGCCATCATTACATTTGGCTATTCCAACGTACTTTTACTCAAGGCTTGACGTAGTAGTCCTTAACGATAATCGTTGTATACAAATTTGATAGAGCACGGTTCAATTTAGTGAAAACAATAATCTTTGAGGAGAAGATCGTTACGGGCCAGACGATCGAATCATCCGATCATATGTTAGAATTGGTGTAAATTATGAGTCTGCTATTCAGACATAATTTAAGATTATGGGTTGAATAATAAATTGACAAAAGTCCTTATCAATACCAGACTACCTTTATTTATCATACTGTTTCCCAGCTACTCAACAGGAACGGAAAGCTTCATTCTCATCCAATTTGTCCTTTCTGCAGGCACTTTACTGTCGTATTCGTTTACTGCACCGAAAAAGATGTAGATGAATAGCCCTCATCACAAATGTTTTTTTATTTGTTATCTAAGTTTATTCGCCGTACAAACAGCAAGAAATACGACTAAAACAGCAGTGAACCCGAACCAATGAAAAGTAAAGTCTTCGGCGTATTTCTACCGGCATTTCGCATACACATTATTTATTTTTAAAAAATACCCACGGTGCTATCGGCTGCTTGTGGAGCCTGACGCTGCCTCTCAGTCTCGATAACCAGGGGTACGTGTCGATAGAGAATTGAGACATCACCGCCTTTGGTCTGGTGCAGTGTATTCTAGAGGGCTATATTTCTCGTGCGCCCGACACGGTGCATAATGATTAACGGCAAGCGATGCAATTGTGCTTTAGTTTTCTATGGAATTATACTGATTCACCATGGGCGGCAGCGGCTTCAGCGTCAGGTCATATCATGCCCGCATACAAAAAGACCACGTTGTATAACTGCAACAGCTTGCCAGACCCGGATCAACGTACGGGTCTGTACACCAGCAGTCTCGGTGGCGCGCGTAGTAAATGTTGTACCATGCATCATTCCGTCACGACAGTGGCAAGAAGAAGCAGTCAGGTGGAGATGAAAGTGTCAAGCTAAACAGTGGATAGCCGACAACTAATAACGAAGCGAAACACGGCCATCCGTCGACCGCTGCAGCGACTAACCATTTAGCATCGTTAAGTCCTGCGATGAATAACCCATAAACCAGGACCAGTGACAATATCAATAAAAACAACGGTGAATCCCACCGGCGTAGCCGTAATAATAACAGTAGTACTGCGAAAAATTCTGGCCTTTGCGTTTTGTCATGAACATTTTTTCGTCAATTAATAGAACAACACTGGAATTAGTCCACTATTGTAATTTAGTGCGTTTGATTCTCAGAGAAGGTATATAGGTTATGAGTATCTCTTCAAATTTCTTTTTTATACAGTCAGCAGTTTTTGTATACTGTCCGCATGAAAAAAGACATCGGATTAAATGAAAAGCTAATATAGCAATACACATAACTGCAGCTTAAGCACCCTTGAAGAAATAAGGTTATCATAGCATCTAGTCTTTCCTATATGTTATTTGTATCGTTTCGCTAGTGCTTTTTGCTTGCTTTGATACTGCTATTGTAGACAGACATTTCTAGTAATGGAAGGATACCTGACGGCGGATTTTTGAAACTTTCTCGTTTAAAAAATGATTTAATTTTGTCATTTAAAATCAGAAAAAAAACTATAGTTTTCCAGAAAACCTGTACATGTAGATTTCATTATGTTGGAGTTCTAGTAAAGCTTAAACTCGATGTTTAGATCGATATATGCCAACTGTTTATTTATAGAAAGGCTTACGTGGCAGATTAACACAACCAACTATGTATGCTCGACATATTACTATACGTGGGTTTATACTGATTTTAGATCATGGAGAAATGAGTAGAAGAAGAAGTCCTAACAAATAAGAATATCTGTACTTGACATCAATGTAATCTAAGATAGTTTACAATTACGGTGCCTGTAAATGTTTTTGAGTTATAAAAGTTAACCACCTTATAAAGAGCACATCATAGTACAGGCAGCTTGTACATATATATATATGCTGATCGTCATTCTAGTAATTAATTCTTTGTTCGTTGGCCAGCCATCAGCCCAGCCGTGTTTGACAAAACTAAATAAAGTTGGGTCAAACGAGTTTCATATCGTATTTTTGCGATATCAAAATGTCTTTAATCACATCATCACAATGGCAGGTCGAACACCCTGGGGTAGTTACGGTGTGTAAAAACTACTAATCGGTGTGAAACTGACAAATCTTCTCACGGAAGTTGCCTCTTTAAACCACCGCGAAGGTGGCTATTCGGTAAGTAGAATAGAAGGTATTATCATATTTTAGTTTTATGTTCAATGTTGACTCAGGCTAAGATACGGTCTGATTAGGCCTAGTAAAGCGAATACTAGATAAGGATTGACACAACGAGGAAGCTATGTTCCGTTTCCGTAATCGAGCGCGCGTTTTATCAACAAATAAACGCTATTAAATAACACACTATATATTGCACAGAATAGAAATAATAACAGAACAATGTTAGTACATCACAAGCTCATTTGTACAGATGAATGAATGAATACTATTACGGTCAAAAGAACCCTTAGCCGAAAATTAAATAAGAAAACAGTCTATGCTCGGTATCAATTCAATAGGTCGTAACAGTTACAAGCCAGTAGAAAACATAGCTTGGAGCAGTTTTATTATGATGAAATATTCTATTTTACGTAATAGATGAATGCCTCAAGCATCTGCTTATTTTTGCAAGATTGCTCTGATGTTAATAAGTACCTATGCTGCAATACATGACGTACACGGTAAATAAAGCATCCGGTAATTATATGTTCATGATTTTTTACTTTCATATGTTTATGTATTATATTTACGTTTACATAACTAATTATCAACCATATATATATATATATCTGTTTGCAGTCTGAATTTAAAATGCTAAAAGGGGTCGGCAAACAAAAATCACCTATTTTTTTTACGTGTTAGTTTTATGTTCTTAATTATTCGCAATGCTACAAGATACCCCTCGCTACTGCTCTTGCATAAATCTGCATTTTTTCAATTGTGTTAGCCTTACTAATACAACTTCCACTTAAACTCTGCTTAAATTTCGTGGACGACAATTTCCTAACTGATATAAATACATATAAACGGTCAATGGTCAACAAATAAATCTGGAACGTTTCAGAGCTCTCATCCACTGTTCTCCGTATCACGTATCGGTCAAATCGATTGTCTACATTTTATATGTATGCGGTAGCAAAGGCTATCAGTAAAAGCTTTTTTTGCTATTTATTTTCTTATTTTTGTCAGCTGTTAACATATGATGACGAATGATATATCAGTGTACCTGTCTAATGAAGTTAACAAGTTGCTACTTGACAATGGAAAATAGGAGCTATTTGCCTTAAGCCTCTGTTCTCGCTAAAGTTAGGCCTAATTTAATGTACATGTGTACGACTCAAACAACCTCTGGCGGACTTAGAATGGGACTGACCTGATGTTTTAGGACCTAATCAATACTAGTTTCTTGAACGGATATCAACGTTAGTTTAGTTTTAGAGGCAAAATCGTTGATATTACATGTATGAAAGTCCGATCGCGAGATTCACAATCATTTTGTGGTCCTTCGTTCTCTGTAGCAATTTGGCCGACAAAAATATTCCGAAAGGTTTTCAAATACAAGCGCACTTCACTAAGCTGTACTTGTGAACTGCATATACTTTTATTTCGTCATCTTTGTGCAACTAATATTTAATCATTGCACATATGTCGTGAGCAAAATAAATAGTTAGCTTAAACAAAGACCTATTCAGCGTAATGTTTTAGCTAAACGCTCCGCACAATCAACAATCTGTCGTGTCAAAAACACTTTGTCTATAGGCGGGCACAAATTTTCCACAGCTGAGCAAATGGCTTTCATGTACGGCCATATAAATGATCCCACATGTTATTACGGAAGACTTTTGAACTTCAGGAGTGAAGAGACAGCGAGGACTTAGAGTCTGGTACACTGAAGACAGATACTATTAATCATTTGATCACAACCCGAAATGGTAATTTGGGTTGATTGCGGTTTGCCACGAAAGAAAGGACATGCGTTACACTGAATGAGGTGGTGCGACGTGCTCATTATAATTACCTCCAAAGTCTGATTGAAGTACCTTAAGTGCATCACGTAATATCCCTCATCACGGTCTTGTCAGTAGCTAATAAATAAATGAACAGCTTAGAATATAATGATAGATATGTACAAGACGCTGAGTGGCCCGTTCCTAAACAACACGCTGTGCACCCTATAATAAGGGATTATTACAAATACGTTTGGCATAATACTAAAAGGCAGTGATGTTCTTCAGAGCCTGGACGAAGTGCAGTAGAGCATTGGTATTACCAGACCTAGTCAATGTAATCAATGTACTAGCATCACACATAACCTTTAAGTGTGTCCCGTAAACTTGATGCTTTAAAGCTAATTTGTTGACGTCTTTTAGCAGGCGGGCAAGTTTAGATTTTGTGTGCCGTGGAAGTTATAATTAAGATGGCCAGAAATAGAGCTTCTAGAAGAAAATAAAGAAAAAAAAACATAATTAACCATTTACCTATGCTGATTTTCCGACATTGTGTAGCGTCATGTTCTCACAACGACCATTGGTATCCTACAGATGTCGAAACAGAAGCATACCTTAGGCACTGGCGTTTCCTTTACTTACAATCGTTCGTAAAACTCAATAGTCGAACCTTGAGAGAATTGCAATTTCTTTTTCGACAGCTGCATAATATAGTCAGCACCGTAAATTGTTGGATAATTTATTCGCGAACAGACAAACACCTTCGAGGTCGTCTAGTTGAACATTGCTGCCATAATAACACCAGATTAATAAACGCTAACAAAATTTAACGATAGGATAGATTTGGTAGCAGAATCAATTGTACAAACAGCGGTAAATGCGTTACTTTTAAAAATTTCAAGAAGTCTGTTAACGATTTTTTTAATTGATGTAGATGTTCCTACCTTTTCTTTTATTTGCTGATTCGTGTCACTGAAGTGATGTGCCAAAGATCATGGGGGACGCCACCAGTTGCGTTTTATGCAAAGCAAGTGGGTACCAAGCCCGCATGCTAACCAGAAGATAGACAAAAAACAAAAAAAAATTAGACAGATATATCGGAGTATAACGAAAAATTTTGTGGTAAATATGGCCGTTTATTGATAGCCAGGAAAAGATATGTTTCTTATCTTTTGTCCCGATTTATCTTTAAGCTCCTCACGACGTGTTGTATGTAATACTTGAGAATTTTTTTCCCTCAAAATAACTTCTGGATCTGTTTCCTGTGTTCGAGATTGGTCAGTACATCTGTGTCTTCCTATTCCATTTCTTCACCACGACCGACTAAAAATCAGTCGAATTCGGTAATCTGAACAGATAAGAATGATATCTGTCACCTTTCCTAGGTAAAACAGCAGAAAACTGAGTTGACTGGTGAATGACCAGCTAAAAATAAGGGGTACCAAGAGACAGAAAAGGAAACAAAAGAGTGTCTATAGCGGATATGTCTTTATCGTTGTGGCCTTTTGGTCACTGGTAGCGGGGGACACCGCAAAACAATCGACGTTTTAGTAACAGAAATATGTAACCTTTCTATCATTTGAACTTCAAGCTGAACTGTACATTTTGTGAATCTATATAGAATGCCTATTTACATAACCTATTTTCTTGACTACACTGCTGCCGCCGCAACGTAACATACGTAACCGTTCGTTTGATTAACCTTCGAAAAACAGTAATTTGTTATAATAGTTACATAGCTGCCGTTGAAAGATAACCGCCTATGTTAGGATTTATGCTTGCTTCTGATTTGCGTCAATGTCGCTTAGTTGAAATATATATATATATATATATATATATATATATATATATATATATATATAATATGTATATATAATAATAATAGTATATATAAGGTTCAGGTGATCTATTCGATTTCGATGCCTAGATAGATGCTTACAATTTTTTCTCTCTAAAAGGGAACGCTTCAGTGAACTTCGTGTAATGACAACACTGATCAATCGTAAAATTATTCGATGACAGGTCTCAAAAGACGACGGCTAGAATCAACCAAACATATCCGGGCCTCATTGTTCAGTTTGCCACTGATTTGTAGCCAGGTTTT